GTGTCATCCTCTCTGACGAGAGGCAGATTCTGTAGTTTACAATTTCTGCCGACCTCGCCAGCACAGTCATTCTGAGGTCCGAGTCCGGCGTGACTCATGACCACATTCTACTGTCTCTACTTCGTGACTTCCCCAACCTAGAGAGCCAAGTCCCCCCAAGTCCCCGTATTTATAACCCCCAGGAACTTGGTTCCCTTGTCGTCGCCTTCTACGACTCGCAGGGCTATGGTGGAGGTATTCGAACCCGCCTGAAGTCAAAGTCAAAGTCACACTGCAACTGACGATCAGTCAATCAGTAAGTTTTGGTCACATATTTATTACTGTTTGACAGTTACGGTCTTGTTTTGTGGGGCGCTCTCTCTGACGAGAGGACGGGTCTCCTGGCCCTCGCCAGCGCAGTCTTTCTCGGGTCCGAGTCCTAATCTGAGACTTCCGTCGCCTCCTACGACTGGCAGGGTCACGGTGGATGTATTTGACACCTCGTCAACACGGTAAAACCCGCCTCCACAACTATTCCTCGTTATATAGCCCCAGCACGGACCGCAAAGAAAACGCCTATTCCATTAATGCGTGTTCTCTCGTTGCCGAGGAAACATCTACAGAGCTGTCCCCTAGCAACGACTGGTGCACTGTCGCCGGTTTACCCAGCTATCATTTCACAATGGGTCTACATGGCAAATTATATTAGAAGATAAATCTAATAATGTTCTAACGATTTAATGACCTACGTGACTGTCCAACGTTTTACTCAGAGATTATGAAACATTTCGGACAGCCGTGTGCTGAATGTACCGTTAACTCGGAATAAAGTTCCGAGACGTGTGATCAGAGCACGCAATTCATAACTCTCTACAGAAGCTTTATGACTCCCTGTTCATATCACTTCCGGTTGGCATGGGGTTCCAATAATTGCAAAACAAGAATGTTAAATCCTGTAGTTTTACTCGTACTTGAATGATAGCCCTCAAATGCTATAAATAAAATTAATTACCACATCGGCATCTGGAAAACAGCACAAGCTTCATATTACCGGCTGTGCAGTTACATACATGTCAGCTCGGAAATCTGTAATTAATGTGAACCAAGTATGCACAATACGCGCATTGTGACAGTTACGGACTGCATAGTTCGTTCCGTTATCTAATGGCCCTACATAGGTCTTATATTCACCTGTTACGAGGGCCGGATTTCAAGGGGAGCGTCCGGGTTAGTCGCCCAGGGGCTACCCAACGAAACACAAATAGAATCCACAGATTTTACTGAGACATCTGATTCTATAAAATCGCGAAAAGCTAGTTTGTATCTTTAGTTAATCCGAGAAATAAAAACAAAACAAAAAATCGTCACAACCTAAAACGTTTGTTGCCGATTCCTCTCCCCCCCCCCAAAGACAGAAATAGAATCCACATATTTTATTCAGATATTTGCTTCTACAAAATCAAAAGAGTTAGTCGCATCCTCAGTTATTGTATGAAATAAGAATATAAAAAACCGTCAAAACCTAATTTTGTTATTACTGACGGCCCCCCCCCCAACTGTAAATCCGGCCCTGCCTGTTACAACTTCGGGCAAGTTTACAGCCGCTCTGCCACTCCTTCCCTCGGGTAAGAAAATATTCCTTGAAAACCAAACAGTCCTTCGGAGAGTGAAGGACAATGTCTTGAAGAGAGCTACCTTCAGGGATGAAATGCTGTGTAGTCCAGTTGCAGTTAATCGACGTTTCAGAGGAACACAAAACCTCCATATTCAGGGTCACGAAGCACTACGCAGAGTAATGCCTGCATGGATTACTCCATTGACCTTGAAGAAGGAAGCAGTAGGTTCCCTTTAAATGTCGGTGAACTTCTACCAGACTAAATGGCGTCATGTCCCTGAAGATACTATTCTTGGCCCTTTAATATTCCGCAGCTTCTTGTGATACGGCAATGTTTTCTACTACATGGGTGAAGGCAGTTAATGGTATTATTCAGTACGTCTGTCCGTCTCCCATAATTACCTTACAATGGACTTCCATATAAACATTATACTGGAGCCGGGATAGCTCAGTTGGTATAGAGATGGGCTACGGGCTGGATGGCCGGGGTTCGATTTCCGGTAGGGGCCAGAGATGTTCCTCTACTCCAGTGTCTAGAACGGCTCTGAGAAGCATCCAGCCTTCTATCCAGTAAGAACAGGGGCTCCTTCCCCGGGGGTAAAGCGGACGGAGCGTGAAGCCGTCCATTCACCCCCATCTAGTGCCAAGATCAAGATTGGTGCAGCTATAACTTCACTCCGCCATACGTCTTCACGGCAGTGCTTATTAACTGTGCATATTTATACACATCGAACCACTAGACACGATTCCAGCTTTGTATATATTAATTTCATGCCTTAAATAATATAAACCTGACGATCATAGAACTTCTGCGGTGGGAACATCGCAATTTAAAATGCCGGTAGGGTCCTTAAATTATGTGCGGTAATTGATCGTTCTTTGGAAAATATAAAACTTTTGTTAGGGAACCTCTTTTTTTCTAGAACATAGAACAAATACGTTACGATCGCGGGAAATCTCTATTCACTGCTAATGAACCAACTGCTTTAACTTTCTCTATATCGGACTATCTGTAATGTTCAGCTGTACTGCTCTCTTCCTGTTCTAATTCATCTGCGTTCCTAACTACGTGTTTTCTTTACAACTTCCTCTTGCCTCCTTTTTCTTTTCACTTTTCTTCTGCCATATCCATCCCTTTCCAACTTTTATATCTCAAATATTATGCGACTATTTTATTATACTTTCGTATCCTTTTTACTTTGTTTCGATGTTTTCGTGATGTTCTATTTACTAAAACTTTCCTCTTGATGTCCAAACTTCACTCTGTTGTTCCTTCTGCTGTTGCTATGGATATTTGTCATGGCCCTCCCGTCTCCCTGCCCCAGTTACGGCTGTCCTGCAGCAGCTCTGACGCAAATTAATGTATGTTCAGAAAATGAGTGAGATGACGCTACAGCCACAGGCAATCAGCACATGTTGAGTTTGAAGTTCTCACAGCAATGACTATAAAGAGGAATATTATTTCTGGTTATGTGACGCCGCGTACTCCTTCACAAGATAACAAACGTTTCGGTGGAACATACTGCCTCCATCTTCAACGTTGAAAAGTCAAGCATTCAGCGAGAAGACAGCAGGTTCAGCTCGTTTACGTACTAGTCCAGAAGACAGTGCTTATTTGGAAGATGGTAATATGTCTCACCCTGCTTGCCACCTATAACGCTGGTTTCTTGTTCGGCTTATTCTTCCACCCTGAAGATGGGGTGATATGTTCCTCCGAAACGTCGATTCAGTTCAAACGGACTACATGTCGTTACACCCCAGAAGATAGTACTCTTCTGGTTACACTTCGTCTCCAAGCAGTCACTGGTCAAGCGGATAGGACTAGCATCGATCTTGCTTCTTGGGCATACTCTTCGACCATGAAGCTTGAGACAGTATGATCCTCCGAAACGTCTGTGAACTAAAGGACTACACGGCGTCACATCCCGGAAGATATTACTGTTAATAACTGCAGAGACAATCTCACAACACGATTACGTGACTAGATGTTTGCTGTATTCTGGGGTGTGATGCCACGTACAGCGGTAGAGTTGTTGACAATGCGTAGGGATAATTTTCTTCTTTTCTTATTTCGTAGGGCGGAGTGAGACTGAGTCCACTTTGTACGTCAGCAACTAACTGGCCTATTGTACCAGCCCCGGATTATACATTAGTAAGGTGTAGTTGGTGGAGTAAGAAAATTATTCGGAGAAAACCTGCCGCAGCGCCATTTTGTCCACTACAAATCCTACATGTCCTGATTTAGAATCGAAACAGGCCCGCGGCGGTGAATAGACGGCGACTAACAGCCTGAGCTATGGCAACGGAAACGTAGGCAAGAAATATCAAATGGAACGTCAGGTTTCCAGTTCAAAACTCGGCCATCCAATTTCCGGTAAAACCTTAAGTGCTGTATCCAAATCGTTTTGTGAACCTGTTCGAAGCCTTTATGCTTCGGTTACAACAGCTAATGGCTTCGCCCGGAAACGAGCGCGGACGGACACCGCCAGGCGTCAATACATCGGCGCATACTGCGAGAGAACACGCACAATGGAGAGCCTGGACTACTGGCACAATGAGCGCACGATTCTTCCCTGAGGAACATACAGCCAAACAACGTGTTGGTGAGAGCCGGGACGGCGACTAGACTATGGGCTGGACGGGGTTCGATTCCCGAAAGATTATCTCTTATACATAACGTCCACACCGGCTCTGGGGACCAACCGGTCTCCTATACAATGGACACCTGGCGCTGTTTCCGCGGGGGTTAAGCGTGGGGCGTGCTAACCATTCATCCCAATCTAGTGCCAAAATTAAGAACGGTGGAGCTATACCTCCACTCCTCCATATCTGTTCATGGCGTGGTGCTTAATTAATGAAAGCCTACAGATGACTTTATCTGACGAATGTGTTGGTTAACTCTTTTAACTCATCTACATAACAGACGTCCATTAAGTCTTATTGTAGATTATTTAACGACGCCCTCAGCAGCGAGACTATGTCGCGTCGGATGGTAGGATTAATGATGAATTGTGAGGGGTTTGGGATGAATCGGTCGTCACTTCATCGAGGTAATAATATACCAGCATTCGCTTGCAGGTGACAGGAAAAGTTCCGAAAATGTGTACATTAATATTTTGGCGGCCAATGAAAGCAAATCCAAGGGGAAATCAGTAAATAGGCCATAAATGTATATAAAACGCAAAACATGTGATATTCGAAACTGAAAAAAAAAACATTTATTTCTAGACATACCTTCCACCAGCATCGATACATTTGTTACACCCTGAAGATGGAAGAGCAGATGCAGTTCTTGCTGCCTGCTTCATACGGGTTTCTTGCTTCAAGCAAGACCACACTACACGGCGTTATATCGCAGAAGGCAGAACCTCAAACCCAAAAGCAATCTCATGTCTTTAAGACCTACCTTCTTGCAATAATCCAGAATCTCTACTTTGTCTTTGAGACACTTGGCCTTGTTGTTCATGTCGGTGACCCAGTGGCCGGTTTCGGTCATGTATTGAGTGTGATACACCTGCTGCTTATCCGCCCCGCAGTACATCGCAATCTGGGGTTCGAAGTGCGTGGCCGGCAAGTCCACCGTGCCTGAGAGGGCCTGCAACAACAGCATCAGACACATCACCATCACATGAACAAGAACGTTACAAAGTAAACACCTCAGGTTGCAAATGCGACAGCCCTTCACTCCTGGGACTTGCAAGTTAAAAAAAAATAAGTTCTTGGAAGAACTATTCGCCTGCTTTCCTTTGATACGGCATGGAGGGCATAAGAAACGACGCGTCCAATAAGTCTTCTATTACTGCGAGTATTCGTTGTCACAGCAACGTTTTTACTGAGCCGTTGCGTAGCAACGATACGAAGATACATATAAGACACAGACCGATGGGACGGATTTATGAAGAATATATGGAGATATACCTCCGCTCCTAACTAGGCATATGGATAACTTTACTTTCACTCCCGTACCATAAAACGTGTTTATATTACGGCATTTCATTCCCAGTTACCTCGCTTGCACGACCAGTCTCTAAAAGAATACGGGCTGCAAACATATACGGCGAGAATTTTACCTTGAGAGTGTAGTGTCTTCAATTTGAAAACAATTTTTAAAAGTACCGCAATTAACCTTTTCTCCGTATTTCCTGTCGCTCTCATTTTGAAGCACAAGGCATCCGCGAAACGCTGCGTTTCACTTCAGTTTCTTAATCCTAAGGCAGTCAGTAGAGCTCCTTGGACGGGAGACCAGCCCGTCGCAAGGCCTCTACCTATACAAACACAGAATAAACGCAGACATACATCCATGCCTTGAGTGGGATTCGAACCCACGATCCCAGTGTTCGAGCGAGGGACAACATTTCATGACTTAGACCGCACGGCCATTGTGATTGGCAACCCCCTCTCTAGTCAGTTTAAATTAAAAGTCGAAATTTGTTACTTCCTTTGCATATACAGAGAAAAATAAGGCTAAACAGAAAAGGAGCCAACTGCCATGAACAAGGGCTTTTTTGCAAACAGCAATGGCAAGGGACAAGCATAAGCATAAGAAGAGACAAGACAGGATGAGGCAGCAGGATCCTAAAAAATGTTGGTACCTATCTACCAAATTACACTGCGTCACATTAACATTTATCGCCATGAGGATCTCGCATCTCATAAAAGAAAATCCGTTGCCTGTAGTCCGCAAGCGAATTATATCGACCGAGCGACCGCCGCTTGTCGGCGAAGTTAATGCCAACTTTTGCGGATAGAGGGTGTCGCGTGGTCAGCGCAACGAATTCCCACGACCGTTAACTTCGGTTTTCTAGACCGGCACAGCTACTTTTCAATTCAAATAGCTCCTCCATTATCCTCACGAGGCTGAGTGGACACCGTTCCAGACCCACTACTTCTCAGAAAATCTAGCAGCGCCGAGAATCGAACCCCTGGATCTGTAGCCAGGAACCACTAGACCACAGAGCATCTCATATAAGTTGTAATTAGTTTTGCCAGTCAGAAGGAAACTTACTGGTACAACTATCCCGGGATTTCTACTTCCACTGATTTTCATTTCAAAATAAAACTAAATAAAAGCGGGTCGTCACAAATTCGGTCACCACAAAAGGTAAATTCACCAGTCTTATCGCAAATGAATCGCCGCGGAAGACAGGTACAGTGCATACTGTCACGTATGAGGGGTTTGCGTGACGAATAATAATAGGTTCCGGATAATATGATTGGATTTATTATTTATTTATGACTTCCTAAGACCCGCTCCACTGGACTACGAGTGTATTCTCTTCCACTCTGACGAATGACGAATGACGAACGAAGAATCTCTCCCGGATGAATTATGCTGAGCATTCTCACGTGTCCTCCCTCTAAAACGTCGGGAGAACCGAATAGAGACCGCCACCTTCAACAGTTAGTTGCCATTCTGTTATTATTTGTGTTTTGTCCGTTGCTATGAAACGTGCCTACCAAACCGCTGTTCAGCAATGGATTATTCCGTGTCTATTCGTTAGAGCCGGAACGTGTGTTCGACGAGCCGTTGGCCAGCAACGGACTTCCGTTCTGGCTCCACTATTGCGACTTTCAAACGTCATGTCATAATACCATTTGTTGTAGCGTCTGAGTCGACTTGTGAATCTAGGGCTCAACAGCGTGAGGGGGAGGTGGGAACTCACTTGAAGAGTTCTTCATGCTGCTGAACTGTTGTGACACTAGCAGCACAACTTAAGAGAAACGTAAGAAAAACGAGTAAGCAGAGAGACCACTGAACAAAGTCTCCAAGTTTTCAACAAGGAAAGTTTCAAAACAATGGCAAAGGTGTGGTATAGGAGTAGAAAGAAACACGTTGTTTGTAATCGTGGTGGAATTATATAGGGGTAAAGCTGTCCCTAGCCGGCCAAATTGGCCGTGCGGTCTAAGGCATGAACTGTCTTCGCTCACACGAACACTGGGATCGTGGGTTCGAATTCCACTTAAAGGCATGGACGTTTGCGTTTACTCTGTGTTTGTGTAGGTAATGACCTTGTGACGGGCTGATCTCCCCTCCAAGGAGTGTTACCGATTGTCTTCGGATTAAGAAACTGAAGTGAAACAGAGCGTTTCACGGATGTCCTATGCTCCAAGAAGGAACAGCAGGAAAAAGAGAGAGAAAGTTGTCTGTGCTTAACTAATTAAGCACTATGCCATGAAGGCGTATCGGGGAGTGGATGTATAGACCAACATTTTCTTGACCTCGGCACTAGCTGGAGGTGAGCGGTTAGCTTCACGCCCCGGTCGCTTTAACCCCGGGGGAAGAGACACCGGTATCCATTTGATAGGAGGTTGGTTTAACCCCAGAGCCGGCCTAGACGATATAGAGGCGAGAAAATGTTTGCCCCTACCGGGACTCGAACTCCAACCTCTTCGGTCGTCCAGCCCGTAGCCAGTCGCTATGGCGACTAAATATTAAGAGAGTCGTAAAGGGTACCTGGTTGGTTATTAAGCGACGCGTCAGTATCGAGACTATAAAAGTACAGTATCGGATAACAAGATGATTATTGTACGGTAAACTGTGTGGCATTTAGAAGTTGTCACAGGCTACTCGCTGTACTGCCTCGGAATTTGTCTGCAGGGACTGCGGAAATCCAAAAAGATCATCAGCTAGGATAGCTGCTGACCCGGCAGAGATTCGATCTAAGCACCTTCCGAACACAACTCTACAACGTTACCGCTACACCATCCTGTTCGATGTCAAGAATAATGAAATGAGAAGTTCGGAAAGAACTAATCGCCTTTCTTTTCTTACGACACGGAAACGAAAAAATTGGGGGACACAAGACAAATAATATCATGTAATAACTACCAAAGGTCCGTTGCCTAGCAACAATACAGAAGGTGGGGACACAAACAGGAAGGTGATCTCACAAGTTTCCTAATAAATTTAAAGAGGCACAGGAAATTTTCCTCATAATCTTACCAACAAAAATTAGGGGGGATATACAGCCAGGTGAACAGACAAGGATACACAGACAGCAAGGTGATCTTATAAGCCTTTCATTTTTTTTCAAAATAAGGTAAAGATAAAGCTATCCGTGAGGAGGTCGTGGAGGCCTATAGGATTGTGAAACGTCAAAGCTCCCACATTTTCTAGACAATCGGCTCACAGATGGCGATGAGGTTGTCAGCCTCAAACACCGGCCGCCCTTTACCCCAGAAAGATTCCTGGTACTCATTTCTATTAGAGGCTTAGTCGACCCCAGGGTCATAGTGCGGTGGAAGGATTAAGTGGACTGAAGAAATTCAATCACGTCATCGGGAATCGAACCCACGACCTTCAGCCTTACAGAATAGTGCCTTAACCAACTACGCTATAGCATGCTCCCCAAAATAAGAAGAGCAGGCTAAAAAGAAATATTAGGAATCAGTTCCATGTTGTTTATTTAACGACGCTCTCAGTAATTCGGATCACGCAGAGATGAATAACGGAAAGGCGGGTGATCTGAAGGAAGCTGTGGCCTGATCGAGTATTATCCTGACGTTTACATGGACGGGGAGATAACATCCGCGAAAACCTCAGATAGGAAGGAAAAGTAAGCATCACAGCTCCTACCCAGACTCTTTCAAGCTTCGAGCAAGCGGTATTACTTTTGCGACGAACTGTACAAGGTCTCTATTAAAGCGCATGAAAAGTTTGAGATGTTGTCACAGGCCACTGGACGGGCACCTCCCTCCACCCCTACCCCAGGGCCAGGATCAGGAGGAATGTATGATATTGACGCATTCCCGGGTCTGCTCAGGACGTTATTAAAAACAGTGAGGTCAGCTCAAACAAGCATCGTCCATAAATCAGCACACACTGGACTATTTACTCTATGGCTTTGCTCTTTCAGGTTCTGTGGATTATACGGGCAGCTTCCTTACAGACAGCAGGCGCAGATTTCATGCGCTTCTGCAAAAAGTGCAGTGCCCCTAGCAAATGGGCAAGCTGCTCTCTGTCTTGTGGGTCTTAACGCTATGTAACCAGGACAGAACCAGACGTTTCGGAGGGACACATAGTTTCCATATTCAGGACTGAGAAGTAAGTTGGAGCTTCCTGCTTGCTTGTTGTATGGCTTACTCTTCGATATTATATTTAAGCATCCTGTTGCACTTTATACGATATATGATATAGCTCCCTCCTAAGTGCAACCATATTTATAGGTCTTTCGTTTTGTTCTTCTTTATACACTACATGTTTCGGCCCCAAACGGCCATCATCAGGTGTATACACTCACGTATCTGTTACACTGCACTTATTTATAACATTTAAAATTTAAAAACATGGGTCTTCCTGATTAGCACTTATAAAATCTTCGGTTCTATTTTAAAACCTTTAAATTTTTTTCTCTAAGTTTTAAATTTAAAAATGTCAGGGTTACTCGCCCTATATCTATAGTGCTGCAGCGGCTTCTTCTTGTTTCTAGTACTGTATATGTGTTATTCTGTGTAGTCTCCCTGTGTGCGTGTCGCTGCTATCTATACTACGTGTCTTCGATCCTGGAGATGGAGGCGATGTATCTCCGAAACGTCGGTTGACTTTCAACGGACAACACGATGTTATATTCCATAAGAAGGAACTATTTAACAGCC